TATATATATAATTCATATGATTTTGAGAGAAACATTTTTGTGGCTCTCATAAAAACTACCATACACACGACAATATTTTTCATTTCAAGACAATAGCCATGTTTACATTGTTTTTTTTATGCACATTTTGAAATATTGCATTAGAAAAAATGAATGGTAACAGCAAAATGCGCTAAGACTTCAATTTTGCAAAAAATGTTTATAAGCTCACTTGAAGTGGTTTTTTGGATTTTGAGAAAAAGATTTAACAGGCAAAATGGGGAGAAGGAAACACATTTGCCAAATAAGTTCTGACGTAGGGAACATTTACCTCACATGGTTGATCAGCTGTTCCWCTGCTGCAGCTGCAGCTGGACCCTTACCCTGTTGGTGTCTTTATAAGATTACCATAACTTGAAGAGAATTGTATTTCTTTTTCTATGTCTCCAGACAGCATGTAGCATCGCCAAAACTAGCTGATATGACAGAATAATTACAACTTTCCCAATAGTAGCAACACGTTTCTGATAACTTCTCTCCATTGTCCTGAGATGTGTCCCTGCGAGTTTGCGACTTTACTTCCTGTTTACKGTTTACTACAGCCATGCGCAAMGTCAACGTTTGACGTAATTACACTTTGCRTAGCCTGGTTGATTCACTCCAAACCGTTTGATAGAAACACGTCTGATTCACATTTCTTTTTTTTTTTGACATTTTAAAAATTCATTCAAAATTTGCATTAAAATTAGATGGAAACATGGCTAATGAAAGAAACACAACTCTTCAACACATTCAAGTCAGGCTCTGCACCACTATGACCAATAATAACACACCTTTACAGTGAAGTTGAGCATCAGGCAGTCGGGGTGAGCTTCTGCAAGCTTATAGAAAAGATCTCGCCATGTTGTGTGAGCTATCATCTGTTCGAGCCAAGCAGGAGTCTAAAAAAAATCATTTACACAAAACGCTGTTTATTTCCCACAACACGTTTGATGTTTGATATTATTTAGATTTGTTATGCATGTTCAGAAATCTCACCTCTCCCTCAACAGTAAATATAGAGTCTGCCTTCTGGGGGTCAAAATGCTTTATGAGGAGACTCTTGAGGTGATTTTCTACTCGCTCTTGGACCTGAGCAGGTTCTACACCTAAAACCAAAACACAGGCACACACACACACACAACTATCACAGATTAGAGAAATGTTTACAGTAGAACTACATACTCATAGACCAGAGAAAATGAAAATGTTAAAATAATAAYTTAATAGTCCATTATTCACCCATCTGGATGAGCCACTCAGCCAGCAGATTAACAGTCTGAGCCACAGCAGAGTAGTTTTCAGACAGAAGTTGGATGACGTGTTCAGGAGAGCCACCTGCTTGAAAATATCTGCAAAACCAGGACTTTTAACCACCTATTTAAGTTTAAACAGTGTTATCGGTCACAAATTGTGTATTTTGAGACGAAACCTCACCTTTTGAGTGTGTTGAATATTGCGGGCTCCATAATGTAATCCCTGCTGGAGAATTTCTGCAGACAGTCCTCCTGGATTTTCCCATCATTCTCTCCATCGTCATAACTGTCCTCCTGAAAGATTCAATGACCCTTTTGTCAGGAGGATTAAATGTCTGTATGTTTAAAGAAACCTACAGTAAAATGCACTGTTGTGGCACCAATGATTTTTCTGAGGAAGACTGATAAGTATGAAAGCTGATTTTACCAGTGACGTTAGMCGATTTTAAGTTATTAAAATGCATCTTAAACTTAGCTCTCAATAAAGGTTTGGTCTTTTGCAGCTGCACACATGTTTAATAGTCATGTTTAAAACAAAACTTCAGTATGACAAAATGTAGCAAACAATTGTATATCACGCAAAGTTAAAAGAATAATTTTCTGAAATGTTGTGACTCGATTAACATAGGTTGACTGGTACAAAATAAATTAACCAGCTGTGTGATCAGTWAATCTGTAGCGCTTGTTAAAGTTSATGCATCCGAGGCTAAYGCTAACAGCTAATGCTAACAAGTCTTGTTCTCACCAGGTTACCGTCCGGGCCTTCCCAGTCACCTGCAGTTCCGTAATACTCCTCGTCCATGATGATGGTGGGGAAAATGAGACACTTAACTTGCTGCAATAACGCAGCTTTAAGTGTTAAATGTTGCAAAGACTTGCTGTACGCCAGCAGATGCTGCGCTGTTTGGACGACTAGCTTCTTGAGCTAGCAAGCTAACAACAACAAGCGGAAAATGACGTGACGTGATCAGTCATGGAGAGTTCAGTCCCTGAGTACAGACTGTCAGGCAGTCAGATAACTTGAATTTATTTTAACCCAAGGAGCAATTTATTCTTTGCAATGAATCAGTAAACTWAAATTTGTGCAGATAGTGCTGCTCAACATGTAGTTTGTTTCTATATGAAACTTTACTATATTTAAACTTTACTTGGTATACTTTTGATAGAATTTCTAATATAAGTAATATACATGTAATACTCAAAAGTGCTTTAAAATGTGAATATTTTAGATTTTTATACGTCTGACTATGTACTAATTAATTAGATAATAAATTGCATACTTTAAGAACATTTTCCCCCAATTTTAAGATAACATACAGCAAAAGTATATAAACTTTAGATTTGTGCTCCTGATGAAGGCTGAGAAACATATAGGCATACTCTGGGGTCCAGCATGAAATTCATTCATTTGGACTACCTTTGATTTCATATTGTTTCACCTTAAAAATGTTTACTTGCCATATTTGGTGACAGAGAGAATCCATGGCGTCTTCATACYGAAACCACTACTTTGTGTCGTTCGTTTACGTTGAGCGCATACCTGCATTTCAAAATCACAAATCAGTTTTACAGCCCAGGATAATCTTTTTGGTTTTGATTTTTTAGTTTGCAATGAGTATCTTTAAAATTTGTATCCAAATAGCAATTTAAAATAATTTAATAATGAAATATTAAACATTAAACATGCTTTTTTGTGTGTTATTGTTGTGCCACCTGTCTTCAGTCTCCTCACAAGTCCCTTTACAGTCATTGTGGGCTTCAWGCCCTGTCAGGGTCCCCTCTGAGTCTCCATTTATTGGGTTATTCTTATTCACCTCCATGCTGGGCTTAGATTTTGAAATATTAAATCATAAATTGATTAAAAATAAAGATCCACCCTCCTCTAAACTGCAAGYTACAATAAAATACAATTTAAAATAAACAAGTGAAATAGTATCAATATATAATAAATCAAATATTTATTTAAAATTGATTTTATCATATGAAATTTCCAAATGTTTCCAATCATTAGATTTTTTCCACTGAGTTTTAACCTTTCAATTTATCTTTTACAAAACAGTTTGCAAAGGATTAATCTTGCTCAATCCTCTCATTTGTAGCTCGCCTTTAAAATTTGTATCCATAAACCCAACAATAGTGATTTAAAATAATTTAATAATGAAATATGAAAAGTGAAACATGCTTTTTTGTGTGTTATTGTTTGGTAGTCATCAGGAGCAGAGCGGGGAAACTTTTCAGCCTGGAAGTTCAATGGCCAAAACCGGCCCAATTTTTGTACATATAAAAAATTAGGCAAAGACGTAGCACTAGCATGTAATATAGTCTGTGGTGTTGTGTATGGTACAAGTTACAGAGCAAACAAACAAATCAATAGGATTTAAAAGGTTTTAAGAGTCCAAGTTTTTGGGAACAAACATTTTATTTAATAATGCAAACTGCAACATATGAATTATATTATTTATCCAAAGGAGCAAGAAAAAGGTCATATACCCGTGGCAAATAAATCACACAGTCTGTGTTATCTAAGTCCAACACAATATTTTCAACCTCAACCATACGGGGAAACTTCACCCAAAAACTACATGTACATTCCTTTGATGTCGGGCAGTTCATTCTCACAGCGCAAAAAAGGAAGTGTAACTTCATATCAAAGCCAGTGAACTGTTAAAGGATCAGGACAAAGTATCAGGTGCAAACCTTTGCACTGGTGGGATCACAGAGCCATTTGTTTTGAGGCGCGCACAAACTCTAACTGTACTGTAAAATATTACAGGATTTGTGAGGTGAGTTTCTTCAGGATTTTTGCTTCAGGAAGGCATCTTATCAAAGTATTTCTACACACAAATATAACTTCAGGTGACAACTGAACCTGAATTAATCTGTTCAGCTATTGCTCAGATAAATAATATTTACTCTACAAGAGAGAAGGAAAGGTAAGTTTCACATTGTTCAGATGCAAGTCGAAGAAAACCAGCTTTCAAATGTCAAATTGACATTTTTTGGTTGAAAAATCCCTGCGCTGTTGGTTTTTCTTAAACCACATCCGCATCCAGTCGTGGAAAGTTTCATAAAGGATTAGTTGTTTAGCTGAAAAAACCATCCGAGTGACAAAAACAGTGACAGAAGTCTTTAGTAACTCTAAGGGAAACAAGGAAGTAGCACCATGTTCACTGAGGGCAAGCCAGAAGGTAAAAAGGAGAAGCCACAGCACACACTGAGTTCATGTGTGCAGTCAAGTGCTGCAGCTTGTAAAAATAAACAATAGACTGCTCATCCTTCAACATCTCTTTTTGGTCTTCATTCCCCTCTGTCGTAGTCTGGCTGTGTGCAGCTTATGCAAACATAGTCCTCTTTCTCTGCTCGCTCTGCAGACAGTCCAACACAAACCTGATGGAACCATTGATTACAGCTGCCGTCACACTGGACCCAATTCACCTGAAACCACAGATAAAAAAGATTGTTCATGAAAAATGAGCAGCTCAGCCAGAAGWATACAGGTAAAGCAGATGTTTTGGACTGAGGAGGAGTACCTCGTCGCCCTCTGGCTCTCTGCACCACGGTGCAGCACACAGTGAGTAGTCCTCCTCTGAGTCTGACAGAGCCGGGTCAGACACTGTGTGCGAGGGGGAACACGTCCTCTTGGACTCTTCGCTCCTTTCTTTGCTTTTCTTGGGCTTCTTCTTACGAGACTTCTTGGCTTTCTCGCTGTGCTGAGAGTCGGAGCTTTCTTTGCGCCGTTTAGTTCTTTTGTTGTGTCCGTTTGCCTCCTTCTTCACGCTGGAAACTCCGTTCTACAGATGATTATCAGAGAAACGCTTGAAGATCTACTTCAATTCTGTTTTTCAGATTGTTGCATGTATTTTTAACCTGCAAAACCCTTTGTGAGCTAAATCAATAAACGGACGTTGGAGCCATAATATGTTGTTTACCTTGTGATGGGGACTCCCTCTCGGAGACGAGTCCGTGTCGCTCCTGTAGGGGGAGCCGCGGGATGGCAGCGGGACGAGTTTGTACAGCAGGTATCTGTACAGCTGCTCTGTCTCAGGCAGCGTRACCTGCAGCAGGAACCCCTCCACCATGAGCTTCTCCAGCTCAGGACCAAGTCCTGCCACAAAAACAGGGTCAGTGTTTTACAAACAAAAACAAACTAAAATTGCTCACAGCAGATTTATAAATGCTGACCTTGGAGTGGAAGTGACTGGTGTTCCGTGTAAAACGATGAACCACTGATTTCCTGAGTCAAATATGAAGACATTCTGGGCCAAACTCTCCCCTGAAACACRAACATGAATTACATTCTTGAGCGATAAATAATCTGCAGTACAACTCTTTCAACTTACCGCCGCCGACACCCTCTCTAGCACTCCGTCTGCGCAGGCCTGTTGAACTCTGTGCTGCCATCGCACCGTCCTCTCGATAAGGAAGCGCAAGGCGTCCCCTTCGGGAAGGCGAACCCGGATCCTCTGCAGCGAGGCCAACAGCGGCAGGACCTTGTCCAGAGGAGGTTTCCGCGAACGCTGACAAAGTGGGCAAAGCCACGCTTGACCGTACTGGAGGTCTGTGGCCGACGGGACGCAGTCGCTGTGGAAAATGTCTCGACAGAGCTCGCACTGAACCATGGCGCCTGAAGGGGCCTTCTGGCAAACACAGACGCTGAGTGCACAAGAGTTTTCAGCAGGTGAAAGTTTGGACTCGTTTGAAGCCCTGAGAGCCAACAGGATGTCCATCTCCCTGTGCCGGACTTCAGAAAGAGTGCTCATCTGTGGAGAGGTCAAACCACACACGACCTGACGTTAATCTAAGCCTTTTACTTCTCTTATAAACCTTTTTTTTTACAGGAGTTCACCTGATAGAACTGATAAAGTAATCATGTTAGACAAACATTTACATRTTCCTCAAGTTTTAATAGTACCTAACAATAATGCAACCAGCAGCAGCCTCGGTATGAGAGCTAAAAGAAGAATAAATTAATGATTAACGTGGTTCAACTTACAGCCGAGGCAGAGTCCTTGCTCTCACACAGCGCTCGCTCCACATCACACACAGACTCCAGCTTTGTGGAAGCCTTTTTACTGAGCTGTGGAGCTTCTTTCATTTTCTTAGATCGGCACTTCTGATGTGCGGATCCTACGTCACACCTTGGGCAGAGGACCTTAAAATAGAAGGAGACCACATCAAATACCTCAACCCACATTTAGACTCCAGGTTTTAAACCCAGTCCCGCTAAAACAATAAAACCTCTGTTCACCTCGAGGAGAGAGAAGGGGAAGTTTTTCAGAAGGAATGTTTTAGCGGCGCTCTCCTTCCAGCTCTGTACGTCACTGATGAGGGCCTCCAGTCGACTCAGAGGCTCCAGTCTGACCGGGATACTCTCTGCTCTGAGAACCAGCTCAGAGAGGCTGTCGAGCACGGGGATACGGCCCCCCAGCTGCAAACAAGTGTAAGGCTTTTAATTTATCGGTCAAAGTCAAACGTCTACATCAGATACCGAAAGGCTACTTTACCTGAAGCATTTCTGCTTCATGAAGCCACTTCTTGGCCTTGGTGACGATGTCCTTCAGCTGCAGACAGYTGGGCAGGTAAGCAGGGATGTTTTCTACTTCTTGCAGCGCATCRTCAAGAGTATCAATGCTGTGATAAGGTCTGTGAAGAAACATGGCATTTAAAGGCTTAATAGAGAGTTTCCAAAAACACTTGTCCCATTAAAAAAAACACATTTCACAAGTGGTACCAATGTAGAAACATTCCCATATAATTTTTTAAGTGTCTAAAAAAGGTTTTTAGAGATAGACAAATAGAAATATTGAGTAAAAGGTTGAATAGACCATTTTGTAGTTAAAAATTGTTACAAATGTGCAAAGTGCACTTGAGTTTGCACATTTTTCGGGAAAACACTAAAGTAGTTTATGGAAACACCACTGGAAATGAACAAATTCAAAATGGTAAATTTACACATTATACAGAGTCGATGTATTTGCTCTAAACGGATTT